GCTTTCTTGCTTACACTGCTGCCCCCATTCTACAAGCCTGGATGAGCAGATGAAGATGGATGGATGTGATAATATGTCACTGCTCTCTTCATTTTTGACCTGAGACAGATTGGCAACTCTTCCCCCATTTATATGTAGCTATTAAGCTAAGCTCTGGGATAACCAGTATGACTAAAGTAATATTGATTCTCTCCACTTTTGTTAGCTGGAGAAACTTCAGTGGCTGAGAAATGACACACTTAAGGGGTAGGGGTCACAACGGAAGTTCACCAAGATTACCTCTGCTATCAAAAGGATGGAGAAAGTAAATCTCAAATACATACGCAAACCTTCTTGTACAATGTCACCACTGTTCCATTAAGTTTGTGTCAGATCACAACAGAAGTCATCTCAAGGGACTTATATGATGGGGAGGCAAAACCACTTATGGAATGAAGCCTTTGTTAGCAGAGTGAGGATACGAAAGCAATGTTTACTGTCTCTTCAGTTGGAAGGCAAAGTAAACAAATCTCTACATAAATTAATAAACATTTTATACATTTCTAGAACCAAATCATGTAATCTGAAGGTGCGTTGTAGGGAAAGGTCAAGATCTTTAGGTGACCCTGGTATTAGAGACACAGCAGAAATACATTTAAACTTAATACAACAACATGGTTATTCATTTATTTTTCAGTTGGAGGAAAATGTAGACTTAGATAGGGTCCAATCACTCTGTTCTAAGAATGAATCGTTGCAGAAAGACCTGCAGACCCTGAAGACAGAGCTCGAGGACAGCAAATCAGAGGTTATTGTCTTTTATTTCCTTTGCCTCTGTACATTCAGTTTGATATCAAGTTATATCTCAATGCACTGAATATTTTTATATGACCCCCATCAACCTCCTTCTAAAGGAGGACTAGAATGAACAACATTTAGCTATTCTCTAGTGCTAAGATTGTTGCCAGTTGCTATAGCATCAACATGAATGCTTGTTCACCAACCACCTGGCTTTCAGAGAGCTTTCTTCACTTCAGTTAACAGTCAACTCAACTGTAAAGTGATTTCTCATTTTGAAATAATGTTTCCCTTTGCCCAAGTTAAAAGACAAAGCAGATGAAGTCATGAAGCTCCGTGCTGAGAAAAATAGGAGCACAGAAAATGAAAAGGAACTGCAAACCATGAAGCTGAAGATTGAGGACAAGAATAAAGAGGTACATGATTTTGAGGTTACTTAGAATCATTCAAAGTGAGTAC